GGGGGGAGTGCAGGCCGGGGCGAGGGGGGAGGGGCGTGCGGGTCTGTGCTGGGGGGGGCCAGGCAGGGGCAGATCCTTGCCAGTGCGAGTCTATGCTGGGTATTGTGAAATGAAACAGGGGATGTCTGTGTCAGGGGGTGGGGGCAAAAGCCTGTGCTGGGGGGCTCTATACTGAGGAAGGCGTGCAAGTCTAAGCAGCGGGGAGTCTATCTCGGGGACGGAGGGGGCATGAGTGTATGCTGGGGGAGAGCTGCAAGGCTAAGCAGGGCTGAGTCTGTCTCAGGGGGGCTCTGAGTCTGTGCCTGGGCAGAGCTGCAGGTCTAAACAGAAGGGAGCCTAGCCCGGGGGCGTCGCAAGTCTAAGGGAAGGGGAGAGTCTGTGCAGGGATGGGGCAGGAGTCTATGATGTGGGGGCCCTGAGTCTAAGCAGGGAGAGAGTCTGTGGCAGGTGGGGTGGGGCAGGGTTGGGGGACAGGGGCACATGTCTAAGCACAGGGTCTGTCAGTCTATACCTGAGGCAGCGAATCTCAAAATGTTGAGAAGCACTGGATTAGGCACCAGATTAGCCACAGAGCCTGCCAACCCCAAGCCCCTGCTCAGCTTTCAATCGGGGGTCTCCTGCTTTGGCTTCAGTGGGGCTCTCTGAGCTTAAACCAGAGCCTGGGGTGGGGAGAAATTGGTTGTTTAAGAAGTTAAAAGAGGGCTGTCTGCTGCTGGCATCAGAGGAACTGCTGCCTAAAATATGTAAGACATTGTGTAAGACTTGAGTTTCTGTGTGTTGCACAATGACCTGGCTCAGACTTTTATTTTAGTTTCTACCTTTTATTTTGCGGGGGGGGGAGGGGACTTAGCTGAAAATAAAAAGCCACTAATAAAATAAAGTTGCAGACAGCAATAAATGAGAATTGAGAAGAGATGAAACAGACACTTCCTGCAGTGCCCCGTGCAACATACTGTAGATAAGTGCAGGCAGAGACTTTTGACCCCGTGCCTGGAAAGAGCAATGGTATCAGCAATGTGGCTTCCAAATTTCTGAAAGTTAAGCCTCCTGTCAAGAAAGTGAACAACCCGTCCTTTATTGTTAACAGCCAACCTAAAATAAACTACAGGGATTTATCTTCAGAGGTTACAACCATGTTTGAAATAAATCCTTGTTCATTTTTCTGGACTCCTACTTGAAATACCATCCTGCATACAATTTTTGCTTATATTCCATTTTTACGAAGGAGATGATCGTAATTTTGTTTGAGAACAGAGAGCAAAAAACATTTACCCAGGCACAGATTAGAGGTTTTGTTGTGTCATCCCATGCATGATCTCTGCTCACAATTAAGCAATCTGTGTAATTAGGACTGTTTTTATATCATATATATTATGAATAAAATAATTCTATGACTTCTTTCAGGTATTCTTAATAGACTTTACTTAGTCTAAACTCCAGTGGAAGTAAATAATAGCAAGTACGTACTCCTCCTGTATTGGAAAACTACAAATCTAAATGAATTTGGCCTAAGCATGAATAAATGTTTTGCCTGGGTGTAGGATTAAGGTGGTGCATGGCTCAAACTATTGACTGCATCCTTCTCTACACAGTGGGTACATATATATTGGACCATGGCCAGTTCAACAGACCTCTCGAGAATCAAAGAAATTTCTGATACTGGAAAACAGCAGAACAGAGTGGTGACTGAAGAGGAATGGCTGCAAAAATGGGAAGCAAACAACATTGGATTTCATCAGGAACAAGGACATCCGTATGTAATGTTCTCTTCAAGTTGTGTTAAGGTATATGATGAGACAAATAACAATGGAATGATCAACTCTTTCATAAGGCTCATCATAAAAATTCAGTATATGTACAAAAATCAAAGTATATTTTATGAGTATTGTTCAAAGCAACTTTAAGAATGCTTATGTGGCCTGCATTCATCAGAAAGATAATGGAGAGGTCAGCAGATCCTGATGCTTTTTATATGTTCAAGCTACTAAGCTATAAAAATACTATATGTATTTTCAGATGTTAACACCCTTCTGTAAAACTTCTCACAGCTTTGCAATATATGAGCAGAGCAATTGACTCACATATTACACATTTAAACATCATCGGTATTACAATTGATATTAAATTGCTAACTTCTTTTCTTTGGCAGGCTTTTAAAGAAGCATCTTGATCTTCTTCTCAATGGCAGGAGTGGACTCAGGATATTTTTTCCACTTTGTGGCAAAGCGGTAGAAATGAAATGGTAAAATACAGACCATAGGAGTAGAAATGTAAAGAACGGGGGGAAAAAATCAGTTCACTTGTTTATGCTTTATCTACAGTGGCAGAAAACCCACATTGCCTGAAATTAGGGGTCTTTGTTTGTTTTGTTTTTTAATGTTTGTCCACAGTCTTTAATCTAGTGTAGACATGGCCAGTTAGGGCTAACCTTACAGTCATCAAGCAAGGCACAAATTGACACAAAAGAGTTCTAACTGTGGGAGAGCAAAAGGGATGGAGAGATCACTGAGTTAACTTTAGTTGTTACATTTTAATCTGGTAACCCTTGACTAAGATATGTTCCTAGATGTTACATAATTATTTCTAGGCATCTCTTTGCATGAAAGATTTGCCTTATGTGTGTAATTATAGAAAAATGCATATATTTGGAGAGGAAAGGTGTGTGCAAAAGTTAATTCAGAGCTAGAAAAAATTGCCAAGCATTTAAATGCATATGGGAACAATAAACACAAGTAATGTTCAAGGATAATGATGTGGTAAGAAACCTAGTACCTCACAACTGTACTAATAAGGATTCTTACCAAGGTGCTTTCCCTAAAGCCTGAGTGTGGGGGTAGGAGGGAGTTGTTCCCTTTTAATTAATAGGTATCTGAACAAATAAAGTTTCCCACTTTTCCCAGCTATAGGGAGGGGAGAGAAACTCTCTGTTTGCTTTTACTTTTTTTTCATTTCCTTGCCCAAAAGATGGGGGTACTCTGTACTAACCCACTCTCCTACATTGCAAACCAAGAGGTGAATTAAATGGATATAATCCTTATCAGTTTTGCTGCCACCCAAGAAGTTTTGATTTGCACCAATAAATCAGAGTTGTTTCTTAATTTACCTTGGTTGTTTTTTGACATAGGTAAGGCCTACAGGATGAGCCCTTGAACTGTATGCCCGAGGGCTCATGAGAACATTATTTTGTATTTTGAGTCAAAAAGCTGAGTCATTCAAGCACGCTGGTAGAAGATTGCATTTTATCACATGGAAGGGCTTTTATATATAGGTCTGGGTTACTGGAAGTTGAACTGCCATCTTCAGCCACTAGCTCCATTTTACTTCTGGGGAAGGTTCACTTTATGACTATAAGGGGTAGGATTTTTTTTCAAAAATATATCAAAACCAAAAAGAAAATGCTCAAATGTTTCATAAACAGATGGTCTAGCTCCTCTACACTCACTAGTAAAGTTTCCTACCATTCAGCAAGCAACCGTCTGGGTTTTTCAAATGTTTGAATTTTTAGTAAACAGGGCCTGGCTACATGTTCAAACCAAAGCTGGGTAGAACCCAGCTATAGAGTTGTTGCGCATTTCAAGTACAAACTTTATAGCTGGTTGGTTCTTTTTGTAGCTGGATAGTCATTTTTATTGTGATATAATTACTTTGCATGTGTGGCTGGGTTAAATTTATTGCATGATTAAGCTGTTAATTGTGTTGTAGCTACTTTGCAGGTGTGACTGGTCTAAATTTATTGCATGAATAGCCAGTTAATTGCATAATATATGTATAGTGGGGGCCTTAGGATCAGAAATCTGAAACAAAATGTTTTATCTACTAGGCTCCTGAGGTCTTTGGTATCTTCCATGGAACTTGCAGTCTGATACTATTATTGGCCATTGGCATGTTCCCTTATTTTTCATTATTGAAGTAAGAGTAAATAGCTAATCAACTGCATATACAGCTTTGAAAAATCATATGAAGTTGATTCATTTTCTTCAAACCAAGATCTACTCATTTAATCATCCAAACTCATATTAAGTTATATTGGAGGAAGACAATTATTTGGACCTGCAGGCCATGTAGGCAGTTTTGGGGAGCTGTCAGCACCCCTCCACCCCCCACAACAGCCCAGAGCCCAAGTGCTCTGCAGTTCTTCCCTGCCAGCACCTGGCAGCAGCTGAGCGCACAGTCCCAGTCCCAGCCCTGACCCTGGCCTGCCCTGTACCTGCTCCGGACCTACCCATCCACGCTGAGGAGCAGCAGCAGCAGTGGCTGGGCAGAAGGTGCTGCTGGGCCGGGAGGAAAAAGCAGCTGTCTTCCACTTGCCGCTGCTGGGCCCTTCATGCTGCAGCTGCCCAGAGCCCGCGCCTGGGCTATGCTGCAGCTCCTCTCTATTTCCATCACTGCCCTGCTGGGTGGCCCAGAGGTGGCAGTGATGGCAGCAAAGAGGAGTCACAGGGCAGACTGGGCACAGGCTTCAGGTGGTTGCAGCAAAAAGGGCCCGGCCACTTTTCTCCTACTCCCAGCAGCAGCTTCTGCCCAGTCACTGCTGCTGCTCGGTGTGGGCAGGCAGGCAGGAGTGGGGCGGGCCAGGGGAGGGGCTGTGTGTGCAGGTTTCGGCTGGTCTGGAGCTGGACTGCGCTGACTGAGCCAAGTCCAGAGCAGGCATGGGGCAGGCCAGGGGTCAGGGCTGTGTGCACCAGTACATGGGGCTAGGGTTGGTGGCAGCAGCAGGTGGAAGGAGCTGCCACTGCCTGGGCTGCCTAAAATTGCAGTCTGGTTGCCCCAGCCCCACTGTGTGCCCAGGGTGGCAGGACATACCACAGGCTAGATGGTGCCTTGGCCAGTTGGGACTGAGGGACCCACCACAGGCTGGACAAAGTCCTGCTGCAGGCCTTATTTTGCCCACCCCTGGATTGGATGTCCATTTCCCCCCAGCCCCGCCAAGAAAACATGGGAATTCTAACATGCCACAATTGTAAACAGCTGTGGTGGTTCTCTAATTCTCTAATTTCTTCTCCACATTAATTGTGACGATGAGTTTTCATAATGCTGTAGAGTCCAATTTTCATCAGAAACATTTTTTCCCAGCAAAGGACAACAAATGTTAGTCTGATCAAATCCATTTGTTTTACAAGGTGCAGTTTAAAAAAAAACCTGCTGTAATGTTCTACAGGAAATGTGTATTTTCTGTTGCCAAAACTTGAGAGAGAGAATATAAATCAATTTATGTAATAAAAAACAGTAACTCATCAGTAAATATGAAAATGTTTATTGTTCTGTGTAGGTTAGCTGACATGGGACACAGCGTAGTTGGTGTGGAATTCAGCAAGCAGGCACTGAAGGAGTTCTTTACAGAACAAAATCTTTCTTATTCTGAGGAATCAATCCCGGAGATTTCTAATGGCAAAGTATTTAAGGTTTGTTTTATGCACTGGTTTTGTATTGTCATCTTTTTGTATGCCTAATTATGCAGTTCAAGAATAACTGTGATGGCCAAGTCATCCTCTGCATTTTTTTTTTGCCTCTGTCTTTTATTGCATCTTTCACCTGTTCTAGCAATGTCTGAAGGGGAAGCATCAAGTCTTAATTCTGTACTAGGTAATTGTCATCTCAAGCTGTTACTTAGTTTGATTGTGTTTTCATCAAGATGTTAGTGACCTAATTTTAAAATGGTTTGAAGTCAGTGGGATTGCACACATACTTAAACTTAGACGCTTGCAGCTGTACTTTCAATTGGGAACTTTTAAGCTTATACTTTATGACAGTGGTGAAGTAGTAGTTTAGCATTTTGAGGGCCTTGAGACATATCAATGTAGGAAAATATTAAAAAGAAGGTTCCTCACAATTTCTCCCCCTCTGTGTAAGTACTGTTTCAAAACACAGTTCCCTGAAAGCTGTTTCTTTTCTTTTCATTGCAGAGTACCTCTGGGAATATTTCTCTGTACTGCTGCAGTATCTATGATCTGTCCAGGTAGGAATAAGGAGCGTGTTAGCATTTTTCCTTAATCAAATATGTATTAAACATTTAAATTATTGCTTTTCTGAACCAGGCATAAATATGAGGTGGTGGATTTGATTTAAATCAAATCAGTTTAAATCATGATTTCAATCACAGTTTAAATCACTGGTCAGGAAGCCTTGATTTGATCATTGTTTTTGATCTTGTTGTTTGATATGGTTTATTCATGTAATTTCCTGAAACTTTGCACTTTTACAGAAAGGTAAGGGCTTGACTGTGTGCATACAAACCTGTAGAGAGAAAATAGGGCTCATGGCTGGGTAATCAAGTCTCTTATCTCTCATCTTTGTATACTGCTGTTAACAAGGATGTTATCTTCATCAGTGCCCAGGGTGGACGACTGGAAACCATCTGGGTTAAAACCTGTGGGGAACACGGCACAGGGGACACAATGGTGGGAGTCTGCTACAGACCTCCTACCCAGGATCAAGAGCTTGACCAGGAGTTTGCTAGGGAATTGGCTGAGGCCACATGCTCCTGGTGCATGATAGTCATGGGAGACTTCAACTACCCAGACATCTCGTGGAAAGAGCACTCAGCCAAATCTGAACGGTCACAAAGCTTTCTCTCATGCGTGGATGAGCTCTATCTGACGCAAGAAGTCTGTGGGCTGACAAGAGGTAAAGGGCTGCTCGACCTGGTACTGGCAACAGGGGACGACCTAATCAGCGACCTGACGATCGACGAGAAGCTGGGTGACACTTACCACAAGCTGTTCACCTTCACCATAAGCCATAAAGCTGGCAAGTCAGTCAGCAATACAGAAGTACTCAAGGGAGCGATCCTGGATGCACAAGCAAAGTCTATCCCATCTTGGAGGAAAGGCAGCAAAAGGACACAGCAGCCCCCTTGGCTCTGCAGGGAACTAGGAGACCACCTGTGTCTAAAAAGAAAGACCTACAAAGGATGGAGGACTGGATTCACCTCCAAGGAGAAATACTCTGCACTGGTCTGGACCTGCAGGGAGCGAACCAGGAAAGCCAAGGCTGTGACTGAACTCCAACTAGCTACGAGTATCAAGGACAATAAAAAGTCCTTTTTTAGATATGTGGGGAGCTGGAGGAAAATCAAGGGCAATATTGAACCCATGCTAAACCAGATGGGACAACTGACAACCGATGCCCAGGAAAAAGCCAACTTGCTAAATGGGTACTTTGCGTTGGTTTCTCACCAGTCCCATGGGATGCCCCTGCCCATTACAGAACGGGAAGACCCGGGTGAGGGAGATTCCTTACCCTCCATCAATGCTGACCTTGTGAAGGAACACCTTGAGAGGCTAGATACCTTCAAGTCAGCTGGCCCTGACAGTTTACACCCCAGGGTACTCAAGGAGCTGGCAAGCCCCTGGCACAGATCTTCGAGAACTCCTGGTGCCCTGGTGAAGTTCCCAAAGATTGGAAGAAGGCCAACATGGTGCCTATCTTCAAGAAGGGAGGGAAGCAGATCCGGCAAACTACATGCCCATCAGCATGACCTCTATCCTGGGGAAGGTCTTGGAAGAGATTATCAAAGATACTATCCTTAACAGACTAGCTGATGGCAATATCCTGAGGGATACCCAGCATGGGTTTGTTGTGGGTAGATCTTGCTTGACCAATCTCATTTCCTTCTATGACCAGGTGACCTATCACCTGGACAAGGCAGAGGAGATTGATGTCATAAATCTTGACTTGAAAAAAGCCTTTGATCTGGTATCCCATGATCACCTCTTGGCAAAACTGGCCAACTG